CCTTTATGCATAGCCACCAGGAGAGCCTCCTTGAACGCCTCGTCGGCCACGGCATACTGCTGCGCAAAGTCGGACCGGACGGGCCACCCACCGCCCTCGTCGAGCTCGTGCTGTTCGGTGTGAAAGACCAAGTCCCGCAGCCGGGGATCTTGGGTGATCCGGGTCAGCAGCCAGTGCTTGGTCACCTCGTGATATGCGGAGTTGCGAGCATCGTTCAAGAAGCTGTAACCGGCCTGGTTGGTGGCCCAGTCATCCTGGAGATCTCGCACCGGGATGACGGGTAAGTCGGGCAACCCGAAGCACAGATCCTCGTAGAAGACTCGTCGCATCTGCCGTATGGCCAGCAACACCTCATCCACCAGATCTTGACGGCTGTATCGTAAATCACCGTATGTCAATGTTTCACCGTCCGGATCCCACACCACGAGCGCCTCGGGCACAAATGCGCCTCCCACGTGCATGGTGTAGAGCCGCCAGTTACTCAGCACGCCGAGTGGACCGCGTGTCTTGTAGACGACCCATTTCTCACACAGCGCTTGTAGTGGCAGTTCGATGTCGGCCAGCTGCCGATGTTCCTTAATATAAGTGGCATCCTGCAGTATAATTAACTGACAAGAGTAGATAAGCTTGCTCAGCAGCCCAGCCACTTGAGCCTCGGACCGAAATGTGATGCTGTGGTGATCGCGGTGGACAATGGCGGAACGAGCCGCGAGAAACGAACAGATGGCACTCTCGTATGCATGGGAAATCCGGTGCTGCACCAGCGCAACCATGAAATTAAAGACATACTCGTCCAGAATGGGCTCCTGTGCCGCGAGCTGCGCGGCGGGCGCCGATTCGATTGGGCGCTCCTTATCCGTATCCAGCTCGTTATTCGACTCCTGGTCGCTGGTGTCCGGAAACCGTAACTGACCTAACGCCTGCGCTATATCTAATGCAGAATTCAAAGCAGATAATTGCTCGGCTGTGGCAACAAACTTGGAAACATCCTCGCCAAAATGACCCTCCTGGACACGAATAAAGTAACACAGTAGACATTGAAACACGGCGACGTAGTTGGTGAAAGAAGTGGCATTCTGAAGACGTTGAAATGGATCCTGGCTGGTGGTGCCGGTCTGAAATGTGTTGAGAACGAGTGCATCCATCTCCAGCAGATCCGGCACCAGCTCGTATGCCTTATACAGCACACGCTCCACGGACAGCACGATTTCATTCAGCCGCGGGTTATCCTCTGGTGACTGCGGCGCAGCGTGCGACGAAGCAACAAGCGTACTGTCCAGACCCGTGAGATGCTGATCGAAGCGACTCTTGCGCAGCCATGGCGTGATCTCCGACACATGATTGGGCTCACCCAACTGCTCGTACTGGGCTTCGTTACGGCGTAGTGCATCTGCAGCACGAGCAAAGATCGCCTGCATGGCGGTGGGTCCGGGCGCATCTCGGCGCTGGGGTTCTGGTGTCGGGCCGTGGCTGGGTAGCGTAGACGCCTCGTCAGCGAGCGGGTTCTGCACAATCCAGTACTGCTTCTCTTTGGCGAACAAGTACTGCAGCTTCACACGGCGGTACATGTTCGCCTCACGCTGAGCATGACGGCTGGCCACCTTGTGTACATCGCTGGCGTGTCGCTGGATCCTCTCTAAGCTGCTGGTTCTTTCAGTGCAGTCGGGCATCGAGCACAGCCAGCCGTCAATACATTGCAGCCCTCTAATCAGCGGTGTGTTGTCTGGTGGTGCGTGCACTTCCGCGGCCAAATTCTCCGTTGCTAACCATACTTCTACCTCTTTGAATCGCTCTTTCATCATATTATGCTCTTTACGTAGATGCAGCTGTAAGCTATGCCTCTTGCTCAACGTGAAGCATGTCTGGTGCTCGACGCACAGAACGACGCCGTGTTGTGGGAGTGTTCGTAGCCATCTGAATGGCGGGGTCGGTGCGGCCTGCAGCACTGTTTCGCCTGTTAACAATACTTCATCCACCACCACCGACCCGCGCCGTGGGCTACGAAGCTCGAGACTTCGCTGGGTGGGAGAACTCGACATGCGCTT